CCCTCTACCCAAATTACGATTGATCAAGTAAGTATAACAATTGCTATTTTCAACCGAATGAATCTGATTAATTTGCATTATAATTTTATTACTTTATTTTTAAATATCATACTGTTTATTAATGCATTGCTTGTGTCATGATTGTCTGACGATTGCCATTTTTGGAAAGAGCGAGGAAATCAATCAGCTGATGTAAAATTTTACCAATGTGACACATTTAATGAGGCTTTTTATGGGCGTTTCTACCCACTTCGGGAAGCTTCAATTCAGAAAGTTGAAGAATCTCGCCACGAGGCGCTCCTATCTTCCTGACATTCTGAGACGAACAGGCACTTTAAGGATTAATTATGATTCTGACTTCTTAATAAAGAATTTTCTTGTATTAAGACTGTAAAGTCATAGTTTAGCAGTAAACGAGCAGACGAAGACTGAAGAAATCCTAGCACCAAGCCTCTTCTATATAACTAAGACGTTTTGATTGACTTTAGCGCTTCATTTTCAGACGAAATCAGTCCGATGCCATATTTTCTTGAAGTTCTCACTAAAATACGCATTGAAGAGATTCATATGTTGACCTATCTTGAGATAGAAGGAAATTCGCTATGGGGTTGCGATTGTAGACTTTAGCTTATTAACCCTCGACCCACCGTCCTTTAACTTTGATAAAAGTCTGCTGGGTCAACGTTTTTCCTATCATGGCAGACATTATTTGAGCAAGCAATCTTGAAGAAAATCTTACTTATAGTCAAAGTCATACTCAATTTTTCATCATAAATCAGCCGAATAACTTTGGTCTGCGCAATCGAAAATACCTAATTGCTAGGTGAAATGACTTGAAATGCCCAGATGAAAAGTTCACTAGTGAATCACGGAGCTATCAGCTACGCTTTGGCCAAGAAGTTGCTAATGTTTGTGAGTTTGCTTCTCTAATTGCTCACTATAACATTGATGCATCTATTCTCAGCTTAGGCAGCCCATTTATGGTGTAGGCTATTTTGGATAATAATGGATCCGACAAATGGAAAACTTACAAATATCCAATCATGTGTCTCACTTTGAGTCATCTTTCACAAGGAGTCCATTAATGAAATGCGAAATCATGTCAAAACGTCTATTTCACATTGGCTCAATCCTTTTTCATTCCTATTACCCTATTTTTATCGCTTAACTACGTCGTCCTCCTGTTCTCCCCTGTTTCGAGGGCGCTGAAACCTGTCACCTACCTCAGCTTTTGTATTAAGTCTATGTAGGTAGCATATTATCCACTTAGTTG